TTTTTTTTCATAATGTGAACAACATTTTAATAATCTAAAGAACCTTTTTCCACTATAAAGAACCTTTTGCACAAAGGAATTGCTGAAGGTTCTTCATGGAGCCTTCGAATCCAATAAATAAAACTGTATTTGTAAGAGTGTAGTTAAGTGGCCTCCTAGCCTGGCCAAGCTGGTCTGTTTTGATGTTTTTTTGCAGAATTTTAAGCCCTTTTAAGATATTCTGTCTTAGAAATCAGCTTGGCCAGGTTTAGGAGACCAGTTTAAACCAGCTAAGACCAGCAAACCAACTCAGACTGGTATGAGCTGACCAACATTTACATTTAATCATTCAGCAGATGTTTTCATCCAAAGCGACTTGACAAATGAGGAACATCACAAGCAATTTATTATGCATGAGTCAACATATTGTCTGTAAGCTTTGCTGGAGAACTTTGATGGTTAAATATTTTAGGCTCTCAAGGTTAAATATTTCCCTTGTCTATTCCAGAACATGGAAAGCAAAACTAATTTAAGGTTGGCAAAAGCAACTGCATTAATTTTTAAAATGGACAAGCCAAAGAGCCGGGAATTCAAAAATAGCAAGAGTGAGGGTAGAAGATCAGATGGCATAGCACATTGAAAGTGGGTAGAGGATTCTCAGCGGGAAACCTGACATCTCACTGAGCTCCATCCGACAGTAACACCACAGGGACCTTCACATGTTCTACTGAGCATTAGGGTGTGGTGCACTTTTCGTGAGATGAGTTATCTGTGAGGGAACCCTCAAAGTCAGTTTTCACATTATTTGTATATATTTTTCATTGATTACCACAAAATATTTTTAATAACACCAATTATTATTTTTAGAATTAAGATATGTATGGTTATTTACAGATTATTTTTATTTTATTTTATTTGTTTATTTATTTATTTTCGTTTAACATTGTGATTATGCTGTCCTGCTATGAACTGTATTTCCAGCAGTGTATATTAACTAAACAAACAAAAATTCAGCATTTGGGAGTTTCATTTCAGGCCATTAGCATCCTATTTAAATCTGAGACAGGACCCACAACCATGAAATTACTCCGAGCACAGAAACTCAGATCCCAACATCAAAGACAAATTGAGAATATTAAATTGGCAAACCCTCACAAAAAGGGAAGGAGAAAGTTAGCCATGTTTTTATTTCACTCGGCATCTCTTGAAGATGTTATAAGGATGAGACATCATCAGAGTATCTTTTAGTTAGCAAACTCCCTGTAGCTCCATTTGTGCTGCATGGCTGCATAGAACATGAACTGGCTTCTCCCTGCCTAGATAGATTTGTCAGTGCATTTTATAAATAGCATGGCACGTGTTCTCATCCAGTGCAAGGAAATGAAGAATAAGCCTCAAGCATCCAGTGCATCACTAAAATATTCCCATCTTGAGAGAATTCGGATTGTTTAGACACACTGCAATTAGAATATGTTTCATAATTTCTGCGAGGCCTCACTAGAAATGGCATGATGCGCTTAAAATGCATTTGCTCTATTTTAGTGCATCCTATTAGCAACATGCAGCTTCTAAATAACATAAAATACTCGTTTAACCTCAGATTTAAAACAATTTTAATTTATTTTTGGAAAATTGACCCCTTCTTAACTATTCTGAGAGCTTTAGTCATATTATCAAACCACCTTTTATGACAAGAACTTCAATACCAAAGCTGACTTTAATAAGCAAGTGTGCAGATTAAATTGGAATATACCTTCTCTTTAAAATCCATGGTAGACATACCTCCCTAGGCTTTTCTGATTCCAATCAAAGGAATAACACAGTTCTGTTATTTATACATTGCTCGTGCATTACTCATGCCTGTTAGTGTCTGTGGAGCAATTTATGATCCTTCAGAAAAAGAAGAAATGGTCAATTTCATGCAGTGTTCCCAGTTAAAAATAACTAAATGTGAAAGCAATAGGTTGAATCAGCCTAGTATAGGTTGAAATGGTAAGCGAGTGATGGGGTTTTTTTTGGGGGGGGGGTTCTTTTAGAAGAACTTAAAATGCCTGGAACTGCAGGTGCAATAACAAGCAAAATAACGTGATAGTGATTAACAATTCTTCTTTTAGAAGAACTTAAAATGCCTGGAACTGCAGGTGCAATAACAAGCAAAATAACGTGATAGTGATTAACAAAATATGCTCACTGAGGAGTGGTATATATACATGTGTAAATCTTTTTCATTTTCACAGGCAAATCAGCTCTTCACTTGTTCCAACAGTACAACTGACTGGACGAAACGGCATTGCAAGGACATTCAGTGAGTATCAATGTATCTTGTCATTTATGTATATCTCTTTCTCTCACTGTCTGTCGCTCTCTGTCTCTCGGTCCTGATTGATTCTTCTGTGATGCAAATATACAAGCAGAATCCATGATAATGCCTTATTTGAGGGCCAGGTGCGCTGCTGCATTTCAATGATTCACATTTTGAAGGAATATTCATGTTTACAATATGGTGAATCCACATCTCTAGATAATTACTGAACATTGCAATGGTGTGTATAATGCAGGCTCATGGTAACATCTGTGAGCATCACTACAATCTAATCAAACAGGCTATTATGCACACCTGAGCTGTTATTATTATCAGTAATTTGGTACGTTCTAAAAATAACTCATCGCTGGTCTCTTATGAATACTCTAATGTCATTGACAGCTGCTGATCTCTTGTTGTTTAAGATTGCTTTTGTCTTTGTTTTTCTTTCCTTTTTGTCAGGGCCATGAAAACTAGACTAGGGTGCCTGTCTAACAAATCAGACTCATGCAGCGATTTTTCAGAATTCCTGCCTCCTGCTCAGGAGAGATCCACAAGATACTTGAAGTGAGTAATTTGTTGTTTTTTTAAAAAGAAAGGAAAAGCGTTCATTGGCTGTCTTATAACTGTAGCTGATCATGTTTGGCTGTCTCAGGTTATCCACGGATGAAGTGACCAGATGGGCAGATTCATTTGATGCTCTGCTGTCCAATAAATGTAAGTCACTTTACACATGATTATGTGTTTGTGTCTGAATTATTGAGCACATTTGGGTGTACTTTTTATAAATACACTTAATAGACTGGTATAAGCTCAAAATAGTGACATACTGACAAACATAACATTTCAACACTATTCAAATTCATGATAAAGAGACAGATACAAGTTTTAAGCTATTATATTTAAAAGTATTAAAATATAATGATTTAAAATGTACTTTAAAGTAAAACTTTTAATTTGATATTATTACAAAGTGCACTTTTTAAAAGCGTACTTATTAAGTGTGTTAAGAAACTCTTATGAAAGTGTACTCTCTTTGAGTACACTTAAGTGGTCTTTTATTTTATTAATGTTATACTATATGCAAGTACAGTTAAATATACTTTTAAGACTTCAATTACATGACAAGTCCACATTCAACACAATTAAGCACAAAGTGTTGCCAGGGTGTTGCTATGTGACCGCAACCATTATGTATTCTTTGAGTATACTTCAGTGGTCTTTAATTAAAATTTTTCCCCTTAAATTCACCCTAAGGTAAAGATTAAACGTTTTCCCTAATTCGGAAATCACATATTTACATTGATGCTTATTCTAATCTAAATAGGAACATATATAGATTTTAACGCTGTTCACCAACCACACTCCAGTACATTCTTACAGCAGATGTTTGTACTGAAATATTATGAAATGCATTATAATGCTACATGTTGTCCCAGTACTAATAGACTAGCTTAAAACTTTTGTTCTTGGCAAGTCGGTCATTTGCATTTCTACAGAGATGTACTGTAGTTCTGCCATGATATGGTTCACCAGCAACTTATGTAAGAAGCTTTCCATATTAATGTGAAGGACGCCATTTCCCTGTGTCACGCGTTTGGCTGTGACTTCTCTTGTCGATTGCTCACAAAAGGACAGGCCTTATTTCCTCAGGCTTAATTCCAGCTTAAATTAAAACGCTGTGTGTGTGTGTGTGTGTGTGTGTGTGTGTGTGTTTTCCTGAATCTCACAACACTGACACTCCAGACGTGCCACAAATAGCCTCTCTTGGTGCTGTTAACAGGACATTTGTTCATGCTAAAGACTTCTGAAATCTGTCAATAGTAGTTCTAGACAGCAAACCATTCAGATGTCATTTATTAGCAGAGCTTGGTAAAGCTGAGAGAAACCCCTAACGCTAGAACTCATCCCACCTGGTTATACTATGAGCATGACAAATACCACAAATTATGTGACTTGTTGAGAAGAATTGTTAAGCAAGTGATCATATTTATTTTCACCTGATGGATGATAAAACACTGAAGCAACACACTTACAACTACTCAGTACACCTTAGCAAGTGTGCTTAATTGTATTAAATGTGCACTTGTAGAGTACTTCAAGTCTTAAGAGTGTATTTAAAAAAAATGTACTTGCAGATAATATTAATGACATTAAAGGCCACTTAAGTGTACTCAGAGAGAGTACACTTTCATGACTGTTTCTTAAAAGTCTTTTAAAAGTATGCTACTTCTTTTTCACAAGAGAACCAAAAGCACTCTATTTGTAGCATATGACATTGAATGCAGCACAACCTATCAGACACATCTTATCACATAATATAACTAACAAAGCACAAAAACTCTTTGTCCCACTGAATCACAAAATTCTGTTGATATAATGATGATGATATAATGATAATAATGGATGTTATGTCTTTCACTGACTGTTATGGCTTTGTCTTTCACTGACTGTCAATTAATGTCAGTTAAAAAGATTTTTTGTATGCTGGGTAAAATCTCCCCTTCAGGTAGCACGATCTGTAAAAAGCATTTCAGATATTCATATATCATGTGACGTCACACAGTGGTGCAGCCGTCATTTGTAGGATTGCAACATGCGGTCTATGTGCTGTGTTGTTGGCTGTGATAACAGCAAATCACAATGGATTATTTACCAGGAGATGTGGATGTATGGGATCATTTTGGTTAAATATTTCTAGTAAGCATCAATGCGTATTTACATTTTAGTATTTTACTTAGCAAGCACTCATCAGCTCATAAAGGAATAGTTAAATTAACGTGTGATACTTCAGCGAACACAGCTTTATTGCTTTGCCCGAACACTTTCGGTGTGCTTACGCTAATACATGAACGAGATGTTTTTGATCTTTAATCTAAGTACAGTTATGTGAGCTAGAGTGTTTACGCTGCACTAAACTTTGACGGGCAACACTCCGATCCGCAAACAAACAGATGAGGAAGAAGAGGAGGATGATGACGGTCCAGTGTATGCAAGGTTTGTATTTTAAGTTTCCACATTCTTATTTTTATGAATTCAATTCTAAAAAGGAAAACTTGTTTTCATTTCATATAACATGAAGGATGTTAAAGTGGAGAGGGTTTGTTTGTAGTATTAGTATAGTAATTCCATAGAAGATTGTTGTTTTTAAATATCCTCCGTTAACTAAATACATAAGCTAGTTTCAGTGATTTTTAATAATGAGAATGTACTGCAATCATATTAATATGCATCAGTAGTTCTGAGACTATCTGCAATAGCTCGGTCTTGCTTTTACGTTTGCTAAATGTAAGCAGACTTAAGTAAAGATGCTCACCTCTGCCAAAACATGACTACAACACAAAACACAGAATCACAGTTTATCACTTCTGTTACTTCCTTAGTTGCTTCTTTACTCAGCATGTAACGACACACAGGAATAACTTATTGTTTCTCTTAACATGCCACAAATTGCTTTTAATATTTCTGTGTGTTGTAATATTCAAGAGAAGTGTTATCATCACTGAAGAAATGGCAGATGTTAATCCTCAGACACCTGTGAACACCGTGCAGTGCTTGGAGTCCAAGACAGTGGACATCATCCTTATTATACTTCTCTGACTGGACTAGAGCCAATGAGAAAGTAAGTTCAAGTAAACGTCTGCATTGACCATTATACCATGTAATATTCTGCAACAACTGGGGTAATTTTAACTGAAGAGACTAATTGACCAACAGGAAGCTATTGATCTGCTGAATGTGTATTTTTCAAGCATTTTATTGCAGCATTCACTGTTATTTTTTTGCACAGTGATAGCTAGTGAAAAGTGTTTCTACTAATTTACTTAAAAGTATAGTTAATCCAGAATTCTGTCATCATTTGCATTATTACATCATTCCCCCTCATGTTTTTCAAACCCCTGACTTTTGTTTTTCTGCAGAACTCAAAAGAAGATACTATGAAGAATGCAGGTAATCAAAACCAACATGTTGGTCATCTGTGGACAACATGAGGGAGAGTAAAGGATTTTCATTTTTGGGTGATCTATCTCTAGTTAGGATACACACTTTATATATTAATCATGCGGGGCACAGCTACTTAATGTGCTATCATTGTAAATAGTCCGTCAAAAAACATGTACATTACTACAATATATACAATTTCATTCAGTTTGGTGCATTAAGTTAGACCTTTAGTAATAGATACTTGTATATTATTTGCTCTTTACAGGTGCAGAAATGAAAGCTCCCAAGCAAAGAACCCACCAGATTAAGATGTGGAAAGACGTTTCACAATGACCACAACTCCTGATAAAAGATTTGGAAAATAAGCAACAACCAAGGAACAGTAATCACTGATTCACTCAAAAATGATCCCTAGGTGATGATTTAAATGATTTTGAAAGTACAAAATGTGTTTAATTCCAAAACTTTGCCATTTACCAATGTGTTGTTCAAAACACTTTTTAAGTTTTTAATGTTTTAACCTTTACTTATTAAATTTTACAATCCAATTATAAGTAAATGCATTGGTAATTTTGCAAAATGTGTTAAATATTTTATCTACACTTACTGTATAACTGCTGTTTTTTTACTGTAATTGCATGGTTTTGTAAATAAATTGTTGTGTAAATAAATTTTCCTCATGCAAGCTTGATCAAGCGAGTTAATGGATTTTAAAATTGCATTCATAATAATGAGATGTTTACAGATTTAAGTCATGTTATTTATGCATTATAATCTGTATAATTAAAATGAAAGTAAACGTTTTGGCTTGGTATCAATTTTAAATAAAGTATTAATGAACAGTAGATATCGAAATGAAACTGGGCCACGTTTTACGCGCTGTGCACATTAGCAACGGACTGATTCTGGCTTGGATGCGGCAGTGACGGCATGTTAATGGCTGTCTCCGGCAGGTGAGAATTTAACTGAAACTGGCCCGCGTGTATTTTACTATCTGGATCACCGGTGTATGAAGGATGAGGTAGATGTAAATATCAGCAAACATCTAATTTTTTCAAGTTTTTACTAGACTTCAGTGGAGTCAACAGTTCGCTTGACAGTAAAAAAAGGATTTGTAATCCTAAAGTATCTGTTTTCTTTAAATAACGTTGTTTTTCCATCGGTGGTGAAGTGTGCTATTTTGGTTTAAGATCACAAAAGAGAGGCTACGCAAAGGTTCTAAAGATGGTGGCCACAACAAAAAAAGTTACGTGCCTGAAACCCATGAATAAATGCCTTCCTGTGTCCAATAAAGCCGAATACATGCTTAGCAGAAAATCTGTTTTAAAAGGAAAAGATAAATAAATAAAACAATGGCCACGCTAAAGGAGAACATTTTGTTCCCTTGCCAGCAGGAGAACATTTTGCCTCTGCACTGCCTCTTGATTGTCCTTTCATTGAATTTCCTGAGAAGCACTATTGTCTCATTTACCCACCCTGCTGTTTATATAGACCATAACTGTATCCAAGAGAAGTCTACCTTACACAAAAAGGATACAGGGTAAAAAAAAAAAAAGTGCCTTGCAGCACAAAAGACCATATGATGATCATAAAATGTTTAATAGAACCGAGGCTCATTGGAAAAACATGCCTGTGGCGACATTTCTGCAAAATGCATCATATATATGCTGCATCTTGTACATTTCATGACACTTTCAAAGTGAAATGTGCAGTGAGTGGTGCTAAAAGCTTGTTCAGTTTTATCTGGAACAGATTAATGTGAATCTGTCAATGTTTCATTACATTGGTTGTTGTATCACGCCAGTTCAGAAATAAAATGTCCGGTGAGTGGTGCTAAAAGGCTAATGGTCTATTGTGTTTGAAAATAATGTACCATCTACTCTAAACCCTACCCTAAACCTAACCAATAGTGTTAACCCTAAAACAGCATGCTGCATGTATGACATGTCTTAAGTGTCCTAAATTTGATGTGCATACATTTCTTATATTTTTACATTTCTGAACTGTCTCGTCTTCATTCTCAGGGGTGGGCAATTCCACCCCATGAGGTCCACTGTCCACGGTTTAGCTCCATCCCTAAACAATCATATAATGTCATTTATGTAACAACATATAATTTTTATGTAATCCTGAAGACTTTTGTTAGATTTTGCAGATTTGTTTGATAGGGTTGGAGCTAAACACTGCAGAATGGTAGCCCTCCAGGAGCAGGGTTGGACACCCCTGTTCTACCATAAATTGAGCTGTGTGAAGCCCTGCAAGAAAAAAAAAATCTAGTTAAAAATGCAAAGATGTAGTCAACTAAATGTAATATTATCAGTTTTACATGCAAATATTAACATTTGCACAATTTTTTAACTAAAAATCAATAGAAAGGGGACTGTGTACAGGGGGCCCAAAGGCCAGGAGGGCCTATAAAAACAAAACAAACAACATATGACTTAATTTTCTCAAGACAATGTTCACAATTAATACTAACAGTTGTATTGCTTTTTTTTTTTTTGCTAAAAATGTAAGATTAATATGTGCCTACTTTCTACATTTTCTGAATGTCCAGTCCCATGGGTGTACATGTTGGCTTTAGGTCAAACTGACAAAACAAGCACAGAAAATTTGAACCAAGTTCTGTGACCCCCATACTCCAAACAACCTCAACTATGATTATGATGACAGTATTGGATGAAAAATTCTTCCTCGTGCCTCCTACAAGAGACTAAAGAATATGTATCTTGTGGTACACGTTGCCTGTTTTAGGGTTAATGAACTGACAAATAAATTACGCTCTTCGCTAAGAGGGATCCGCTCCCTTTGATGCAATTTATAATCCCCCATCCACCCCACCCCTCTGAGAGATTTTTTTTATCAAGGGGCTCCCCCTTGTATTTTGTGTGATTTCTGATTACTGTGTATTTTTTTTTTTTTTGCTAAAAATGTAAGATTAATATGTGCCTACTTTCTACATTTTCTGAATGTCCAGTCCCATGGGTGTACATGTTGGCTTTAGGTCAAACTGACAAAACAAGCACAGAAAATTTGAACCAAGTCATGTGACCCCCATACTCCAAACAACCTCAACTATGATTATGATGACAGTATTGGATGAAAAATTCTTCCTCGTGCCTCCTACAAGAGACTAAAGAAGATGTATCCTGTGGTACACGTTGCCTGTTTAAGGGTTAACAAAAGCAAACATGAGATAAAAATGCATTTGCAGAAGCAACCATGGCATTTTAGTTTGCTTCTACCAGTCTTCAAGCTCATTTATTATGAGAGTGCAATGCTGTACCAGGTGAGCTACAAAGCAAGTTTACAATGTCAGAAAAGCCATGCATACGAAGCTGGTTATGTGATGCAAATATCATATCTATTAGTTACACATCATGCACTACTGTAAAATGTTTTGAGGTCATAACATTGTGTGTGCAAGGAACCACACAAAAAGAAGTCAATAATCTGCCCTTCTAATCAGTGTAATAAATTAAAGTTGTTGCTGCCACCAGTGTTAATTTCAGCTGCAACCTGCAGTGATTTATATTTATAGGTACGGTTTTGTAGTTTTGTCACAATGTACCGTAGATAGAGGCACGGTTTTCCTGTGTTTCTGTAATCTCTCATTTGAAACACGTCACAAAAGTGACAAAGGAAGGAAATGTTTTTGATGAATGAAGCAACTAGCTTGGTGCCTTTGGGAAGCATTTCCTGTATCCGGTATGGCTTAGATATGGCATATTAGACTTGACAAAGATATATTGGTTTTAATATAGTAAGATGTTTATCCATAATCTTATTTGTCTTTATTTCATAGATGGTTTGGCAGCCTTCAGAACCTTCCTCAAATCAGAGTTCAGTGATGAAAACATCGAGTTCTGGTTGGCTTGTGAGGACTATAAAAAGAGCAAATCCCCTGCTAAGATGATGTCTAAGGCCAATAAGATCTACAAGGAATTTATTGATGTTCATGCACCCAGAGAGGTATGTCGACTGCTTCTATAAAACCATAGCAACTACACCTGAACATATAGTACTCTTGTGGGTACTGTATGCTCATTACTGCTTGAGAGGAATTTGTTTGAATCACAAGAGCTATACATAATGCTGCTAACTAACATAATTACAGAGTATATTAAAAATAATTCAATCAGTATGTATGTGATGTTTCCAGACAGTACAGCCAATCATAACTTGAAAGATTGTGCTGTCTTTCCCAGCATTTGTTTTTTAATTAAAATCATGGTGAAATAAGTTGGTAGCTAAACATTTTCCAAAAAGTATCATTGTGACACATCACTGACCCTAAACTTTAGAATGGTAGCATGGGTAACACTTTACAATAACAGTACATCAATTATCATGTACTAATACCTGAATTAATAATTACTTGACTATGAACAAAGAACACACCACCATATGCAAACCTTAGCAATAAATAAATCAAGTAAATAAAAATTATTTAACCAGAACACGGTGGGATCTGCATTTGCAATAATCAGTCCCTGTAACATTCAGCGTTATTAAACCACTTTTTGTGCAGTACGAGTCAAGGGGGAAAATTAAAGTGCTAGCAGGATCCTATAGTTAAATGTATAATATGTATTTTATAAAAAGACCATATACAT